ATGGAGAGCTAGCGACAGCACCCGAGAGTCAAGTCTTTATTTTATAGCCAGATTCCACGAGGTAAAGTAAGGACCTGGTCAAGATGTTTACACTGTTCTAATCTACTCAATTACATGCACCTGAACTCTATCAAGCCCACATTACTCAGACACATGGCCACGTGTTCAGACCATAGGCTCAAGCTTACAACTACAGCTGTTGGCTATAACTGTGCTGGGAAGGCTCTGCCCTCCAAGCTGGGACTTGCACGTGGCAGTGAGAGGACTGTGCCCTCTCATTAGTCCAGTGGTTCTCAACCTTGGCTGCGCATTAGAATCACCTGGGAATCTTTTTAAAATCCTGATTTCTGGGCCTCATCCTCCAGAAATTCTGTTTCTTTGTTATGGGTTGGGGCCACAACATTAGTAACAAAGAAACAATGTCCAGAGGATGAGGCCCAGAAATCAGGATTTTAAAAAGATTCCCAGGTGATTCTAATGTGCAGCCAAGGTTGAGAACCACTGCATTAGTCCGAGGCTTGAACCTGTCGAAACACTGTAGCCGCTCTCCACAAGGACTTGAATGCCACCCTCCTTCTTTGGACGGACAGCACTACCTGTGCGCTCACGCCGTGTCACATACCTGAGGCATCTGCGGGTCGTTGATGTCCCAACTGAGCTTCATCCCGTAGGAGCGCACACAGTCCGCCTTCTGCCCGGCTTCCGTTGGCATCTGCCCACCTTGCCGGCCAAGTCCCGCAAGGATCCTGAAAGATAGAAGAGGAAAACAAATCTAGAGGCGCGCCAGGCGAATTTTCCCCCTCAAAAAGAAAGAAAGAAAGAAAAGTGGAGATTGGGAGCGAGGGAGTGGGAAGGAGAGGGAGAGGGAGAGAAAAGAAGGAAGGGGAGAGAGAGAGAGAGAGAGAGAGAGAGAGAGAGAGAGAGAGAGAGAGAGATTGGAAGTCCACGGGGGTTAAGGACTCGGGTGGAGCCCAGATCTGGGCCTCGGTCCTGAAGGCGACAGGCAGCTCCGCCTTTACTCTCTCTTTCTCCAACTCTCAGGTCCCGCACCAGCAGGGCCGGTCACCCGCTCCCGGACAGAATAGGAACAGGAGGGGGAGGTTGACCTGAGCCCTTAGGTGACAGGAAACTGAAGCCAAGATGTTAAGGGGCGAGGGTGGAGGTGTGGAGGTTGGAATGCCTCATTTATATTGATTTTTTTTTTTTTTTTTGTCTTTCTTTCTTTCTAACCCCGCCCGGCCCCTGGGGTTTCCGGAAGCTTTGGAGACAGTGGCTTTCGAGCCGCTACTCAATTCTCCTGCCGCGGGGGAACCATAGGTCGCTGCGCACCGCAGGCTGAGTAACTGTGCCCATGCCGCAGGATCCGTCGGCCTTCTTTGGGCCTTTTCCCCGGGCTTTTGCTGTAGCTGCTGTTATACGTGTCCTGGACTGTGGACTGTGTGCTCTTTTGTGTGTGGGGGGGCGGGGGGGGGAGCGGGAGGGAGCGCCGAAGCAGATATCCAAGGGAGTGCCAAAGGTCCCTGTGTGCTCCTGGGCCTGGGTGCACCCACCCCGGGGCTGCGGGGGGACCCTGCCCAGTGGGAAGAGAGTCCTGGAAAGTGAACCTGGAGGAAGTGGGGAAGACCAGCTAGGGGCAGGTGGAGAGAGAGAGGGGGGAGCTCTGCGCCGCTCAGGTGCAGGAGCTCCGGCAGAAACCGCAGCTCTCTCCGTCTGAGCCAGTTTCCCTATCTGCTTACAGGAGGGATTGGGGCTCGGGTGAGTTCTCAGTCGCCATCCACCTGACATAACCCTATTAAACAATCATCTTTACTACCTTGTATGCATATATGCATAGCCCATGGACACAGACAACGGGGTGCTGATGGCCTGGGGGGCGGGCGGGCTGGAGGGAGTCAATGGGGGGGGGAGGGGGGCAAATTTAATACTTTCAACAATAAAGAATCACTTAAAAATCATCTTTTTGATATTGTTGTGGAAATACCACGGCAAAATGTATTTACCCCCAGTCCATCTGGGGTGGCTTTTCTGGAGACTCCAACAGCTAGGCGAGGGGGCATAGGACGCTGTGGGCTCCCCAGGAGCCCGGTAGCACCCAAGAAGAGAAAAGGATTGAAATGACTTAAGTCGCTCATTACCCATGCTGGGCGGAGAGAGAAGATGGGTTTCTGGAATTTATTTTGTTTTGCCGGATGGTTTCCAGCCCTAGCCAGAGAAGAGCCACCCTGAAGGGGGGTCACTGTTAGAGGAGGATGTTCCGAACCTACATTCCTCTAGAGCAGTGGTACTCAACCTTCCTAATGCCGGGACCCTTTAATACAGTTCCTCATGTGGTGGTGACCCCCAACCATAAAATCATTTTCGTTGCTACTTCATAACTGTAATTTTGCTACTGTTATGAATCGTAATGTACAGACTAATGCCAGGTGGGACCCGGCTGGTAGGGTGCCCAGGCCAGCGTCTCTTGCAGGATTAGTCTTTCCCTTTGATGAACCTTAAACCCATCACCTGAACAACCATCTACACTCCCGATCCTCTCACCTCTCCAGTCAAGGGCACAGTCAGGCGTGTTAGCAAAGTCAGTCCCATTGGCAGTTGATCAGCGGAGAACTCCTGTGACTGGAAATGCCATCTTTGGGCAGTTTTACGACTTATCTTTCTCTAGATTCCAGTTCGGATACTCTCCCAATCAGTAGGCGAAATATCCGCGTGGGAGAAAGTTCATCCCCCCAGCCTCCCTTGCCCCAAAGTTGTCTCCTGAAAGGTGGAGTCGGTCTGGGTTTGTGATTAAAATCACTCTCAGATAATCGTCAGGAAGGTCCGGGAGGAAACGTACAGAGGGTCCACTCTTCACCCCCTGGTTTTATCCTCAGCTTTCATCGTATTAACTGACCGCCGAAAGTCATTGCAGTCCTGTCATCCAGTTGCTTTTTACGTTGCTTTGTCTTTCAGAGGTTAAAACAATGGACACTTTTATTTTTTTACAAATCGTTATTTCGTTAATTTGATAGTTTAACTAATGTATACTTTAAAATGTTTTTAATATAACTTCAAAAATATTTACAATCACCTCTGAGAATGCACAGGAATTAATTTCTGGTCTTCCTGTAAACATTGTTAGAATATTTATTGTCTCTCTAATTTTGGGATGTTCCTAGAGCCCATATCTTTCAAAAACCATAAATACAAGTTTTAATGTTAAAGCAAATCAATTACTCATGTACTTATTTTCTAAATGGATTCTGGTATCCACATAAATGTCATAGAGTCTCCGCCGTATTCCATTTGCAGAATTTCATTTACAGAATTAAAATACACATATTCCAACTCGCCCTAAAAATGTGTCTGGGTAGAATATGTTAGTAAAACGAATCAAAGTGATGATATAACAAAATAAAGAAGTCGATGTGTTCTCTATTTTATTATCTTTCATTTCTCCCGAAAGACTGAATGCATTAACAACCATATGGCTTGGAAAGGCGTATTTTTCCTGAAAAGTCTGAAGATAATGGATTATGAAGTTTTAAAGTCTAATATTAACAATTTTATTATATTATGTTATAACAGTTTATATTGTTATTATATTACTATATTGTTTTATTTCCTAAAGTAAAATATATTTAAACTGTATTTTGATTATTGTTTATTCTTCTTCAATTCTTTCCTGCAGTTAGTGTTTGCCCTGATTCAGAACACTTTATTTTCAAAGCTGGCTCTTCCTTAATTACTATTTTGATATTTTAAAAGCCCATTAATTCAAAAGCAAGGAAGAAGGCTTTGAATTTGCTAGGTTGAGATTAAAATTGATAAATTAACGTAAGTATATTTACATCATCTTTCCCCGGAAAGGGATATAATGACCTTTGAAATAAGTATCATTTCAAATGAACTGGAGGTGGGATGCACAGTCCTGGGCTGACAGCTGCGATTCCGGTTATAGTATGTTTTGCTTGGATATAAACAAGTATCTTCCGCAAATGTCATAACATGAAATACCCTTAACATCTAGTTATAATTCAAGTTGATTTACATCTAAAGAATGTTTGGAATTGAGGGGTCTTTTTTTTTTTTTAAATAAAACACCAGTCCAATTTATTTTTGCCACCGTGTTCACATACCAGGCCACCTACTGGCCTAAACCTGGCCATTAGTACACATACTGCCGGCTAAAGGAAGTCGGCAGAAAACAAACTGGACGAAAATATTTGCTTGCTTTTTTGGTTTTGTTTTATTAATACGGCTGAATACACCGAGGTATTTTTTTTAAATAACCCTTTTTTGTGATATCAGAAATATACTCAAATTTGGTTCCTATGGTGAAAGTTCAGCCTTAATTCATATCAATATTAATGGACCCCAAACAGCTGAAAAGCTGTTAAAAATGGAGAGGAAACTGCTAGCTGAGGCAAAGGGGCACCTATCAGTGTAGAATTTTGCAAATATAGAATGTTTAAATGACGTTGTTCACATTCTTTGAGTAATCACTTAAAGCGTATGTGCGTGCGCCCAGGTGGCCTGGCCAGGATTGCTAGTTCCTTGCAAGCGTCCCTGGAATCTCTAACACTGGATTCCAGTGCGCTTCAGGGGCGGGTTCAGCAATTAGCCTTCCTGGTCAAGACTGGAATCCAAGAGCCGTGGTCTATCCGGGCTCTCCCGGCAGCCTCCCAGCGCGCGGGGTCTCAGGAGGCAGAATCGCGTGAACTTGAGC